TATTAGAATTTCAAGAAATTTTGGGGGGGGGTAAAATTTTGTGCTTTTTGTTTTTGGGTGTTTGAGTTAATAAATATTGGGTTTAAATGACCACAAAAAAAAAATGTTGATTTTTTTTATTTGGTGGGTAAAAACCCTTTTTTTTAAACAGAAGGCCTATGTCAAAAGGGACTATAAAATGTTGTAGGAATTTTTTTAATCATCTACAGAATTGCTAAATTTACAAAACACGACTATTTATTTAGATGTTTTTTTAATCCATATCAACCATTAAATGTAGTTTGTAATTATATACTAATTATTATATTTTTATAATTTAGACGTTTTTATGTAGGTTTAAAATCAAAAATTTGAATTTGTTATCCATGAGTGATGGTTTTCACTAATAAAAATTCTTTAAACTGACTTTAAAGAGTTTTTTCCTAAAGTTATTTTTAACTTTAACGTCAATCTAGAACGTATTCTGGTAGCCAGGAAAAGAGCCTTGAGGTTTATTTAAATATGCAATAGATGGCTCTAGCTATCGTTGTCACTACAAAATTACGATGTCAACCAATCGTTCAGTTTAAATTAAAGTTCTATAGTCAGAACATAGATGGCACTAGATATTTTATTCTGAGGCTGCTACCACTATTCTGTAAACTTTTATTTGTGTCTGGATTCTTACCTGTGGCAAAATGGTGATGAAGGAATTGCCAGCTTCGTTGAATATAAGAGGAACATTATCAATCCAGCCGTTGGTTTCACTATAAGTGTAAATCTGAAATCATAGATATTTCTTGTTATGTTTATAACACACACATTACCATGTAAACACCAGCAACAAAATGAAAATGTACTTCAAATCTTGTTTTAGAATGTTAACGAAATTTATTCATATCACGATATATAATTTTAAAGAATCGTGGCAACCAGTCTTGCCTAGGTTATTTTACTTTGCCTTTTACTGGTGTGGTGTGGTTAATCTCTCCCACACGCCCACCACTGTTACCCCTGTACACCAGAATCAACAGCAGTGACCAAGAAATACATCGAGTTATAACACTCGGGAATTCCCAGGAAGAAAATCAAACTGTCTTGGAACCCGTAACGAAATTAATCAGAAGAAAATTGGAGGAGTTGGAAATACAGTGGTTTGGTTAGAGAGAGTACCAAAATGTAAGCTCCTACCGCGCTTTAATTCCCTAAACAGCATCTTTATTTATTAAGTACTTAATCACTAGTACCTATAAAGGATAAAGTAGCGATAATGAACCTTTTCATAGTACAAAATAAACAGAGAAATCACAAAAGCGGAGGCTCACTTCTCAGCGCTCGATGTAATACGTTTACAAAATATTCTAATGGTTACTGATCCTGACTGCTAAGCTGGAGAGCCTGGGTTTGATTCCCACCCAGGACAAATAATTGTGTGATGAGCACGATCACTTGTTCTGTGTCTTGGTGTAACTTATTTGCAATATGCATGTATTTAGACATCTATAAGTATGTTTATCAACAGTCTAATTACTATACTAGTTTGGGATATCGAACTGCGGTGTGTAAGATGTGTAAAGTTATTATTATTACATAGAATCATTGTTACATACCTGTGAGCAAGTTGGTACTCCACTAGTGCATATGACCACGCTTAGTCTGGTTTGTACTCGGTCGGTCCACATCACCGCGATGTTATCATTATTCACGAAACGAACACTCTTTAGGATTGGCCTGGAATTAAAGGTTTAAATTTATAGATCTACACATAGCTATAATAGCTCTGATTGAAATCAACTCATATCACATAAATGACTTAGCGTGAGTTCGAGTATAATGAGACACTTATGTCTGCGTATCTGAAGTTTTCGGGTAGAGACTTTTCACTTTCCGAAAAAAAAAACTGCGGTTATCAGATGAACATGACCGCCACGTATTGTCACGCTTATCCAATGTACGAGGCAAATCATAAACGCAACATGTCTGATCAATGGAACGCATGATAACGTTTTTCTATTTTATTTTTTGTATGTTATAACTTGCCACTGCTGAAAGTAATGCCTATCTAAAAGGTTCTCTTTTAAGATGTTCTCTGTTACACAATTTTTCATTTAAAGTTCTCTAATTAACTATTAAAATAAGAAACACAGGATACTAACTCATTCAAGTCGGTGGGAGCTTCGTAGACGTTGTTTTCATTTGTTAAGAGATTAAACAACGTCACTGATACCGTAGGATTGGTTGTCCCAGTCTGAAATTTAGAAAAAAGACACTCTTGATAAAATTTTATGTCTTAAAATAAACTTCTCATAGAACAAGATGAAAGCGAGACTCCGATGTACCTAATACTATTTTTCTGTAGAAAGGCACGTACGAAATAATTGTGGTGAGTCGTGTATCAGTCTTGTGGTTTTTTTTGGAGATAGATTTCATAAAATGTACTCTATGTTACCTACTTGATTTATAGTAGGTAAAGTTGTAATTCTTTTATAAATAAAAGATAACCAGGGCAATGTGAACATATTCTGAAGACTTTATAAATATTTATGTACTCAAAATACACCCAGACTAACAGAGACTTTGCTTGTAAATACCGAAAATAATTGTATATATAAGGGTGCCCTTTGTGGAGTATATAATAAAATTTATTATATGCATATCTTGTTAAATATATACTTTTTAAATTGCCTGAATCATTTTTCTTCCATTGTAGTCACAATATAATTACATACCTAAATTGTTAGTTTAAAAAATCACACGGTTTAAATTATAACCTTTGATGACCTCAAATATTTAATGATACCTAATAAAAATAGTTTTGCTAGTAACAATTTAGCCTTGAAATTCTTTAATGATTTTAGCGTGAACGAAATATGCGCCCGATTTTATTTAAACTTGACCTTGATCTTCAATAAATAGATAATGATAGTATCTTAATTAATTAATTATAAGCCCAATCTGATGAAAACCATTATTTTTTTGTCGGGTTGCCTGCTGATAAGTGACTACTACCCCATGAACACCTGCAACTTAAAACACAATAGTGCCTTGCTCCTCTACTCCCCACAATCCCCTCCCCTCACTCAATCAAAGAAACGAGGAAATTGCTTAACACCGGATTTATGTGATGCCGTGGTATCACTCCAGCAGTGCTAGGTTAGTGAATTTCAAACAAGCTGAGTTTGAAGCTCGTCGCTGAGGCAGCGTTGTACGCATGACTGTTTCCAAGTATGTTTCGGAAGTTATACTTGTATACGTTGAGTTGATGAAAACATAGAAGATGTAAGCAAGTCTTACCTTGGGGTAACGAATGTCATGATGTTGAGTGTATTGGTAGTTAAGAGATCCAGGTACACCGTAATGTGGTACTTTCATGATGCGAACATCGGTGTCGTTGAAAGTGGCATACGCAAGCTTATTGCCGTCGTTGGAAAACCAGATAGCGTTGTTTGAGCCAAACACTTCCTCTGTAAGCGGAGTTAATGATAATATTTATTGTACACAAGATAGTACATACGCACAACATATAGATACATTATAGAGAATCTTTCAGAAAAACATTATTCATTAAAATTCCTGATTTTTTCTAACAGAAATCATTTTTGAACCTTGACAATTTTAAGTTCAATATCGACTGATAAAGCGAATGTTTCACAAGGGCTAAAATTAATGAAACTACGGTTAGTGTAAACAAAGATATTTATGAAATGTCTGCATACAAAATAGAACTCAAAATAATTTAAATTGATATGTAAATTCATAATTCAAGGTAAATCAACTATTTGTCAGTTACAAATAACGCTCCTTTATTTTACCATACCATTTGTAAAATTGATGGCCTTGGCACACGAGTGCATTTATTTTCAGATAATCACATATAATGGAGGTATGCATTGAGTTAAAACAACGTTAAAGTAAGTATTATATCAATGGAGGTATGTTATAATACGGTAATAATATTCAAGAGTGGTATTCCTGGCATTTTTTTATTTTATATTATGTATGTTTCGATTAATCCCGAATAGTTTCTTGGGCTTGACAGAATCGTTTTGATACTTATCGGTTAACTAAACATACGCCTCGTGAGCACAGCTGTGTCTGTCTCTGTAATAACTACCGTTTTTTATTCTTTAAATCTTTTACATTTTCAATTTTTGTAAATTTTTCGGGCACAGTATGTTTCGCTGCTGTTACTAAAAAATAAAAATTAGTCGCCTTTATATCAAGGCTTAACCGTTATTTTTACGTAAATAGACTTGACAACTGAATCCAGAAATCATATTATTATTCGAATTTAAAATAAGTGGATAGGAATCCAATTAAACTAATCAAGTGGATAATATTCAAGAAGAAAATTAAATAAATGAAAACCCGCTAACCGGTGATGTCAAACGTCCAATCACAACCTGAATTCTTACCTTCATAAACCCAATCAGGGATTCCATTGTAGATAACGTGCAATACTCCGGAAGTAGTGATCTGCCTGGGTTCTTCATTCATACTGCCCTGGTAGTAAATATTGTTTAGATAAACGAAAGCCAGCGCAGTCCCACTTGGTCCCCACACGAAGTTCTGGAGGAAACCTTGTTCGTAATCAACATTTGTTGGAAGAATGTCAGTTTGGTTACCATCCTCAACATCGATTAGACTGTAACGGGCTAGGAAACTGTACCGGTACACCTGGAATGAAGATCAGAAAAATAAATGATATTTAATGCAATCGAGAGTTTTTCAGTTATTTATTATTTGCATTAACATTTCAATATTTTTTTAAATAAGCTATCGAAATGACGCAACTAATTTTTTCCGCTTATTGAGCGTTCCCAAATACTATTTTGCTACTGAGAATTTTCTTTAATAGTATAGAAAATCTCACGACAGCACGTACATTTAAAACATTAGATCACTGACACATTGTATTTCATTTAAAAATACAATGTGTTTTAAGTGAATTTATTTTTTATTAAATTAAAATTTAATGTAATAGAAAGTAAATTCACTTAAAACGGAGTGCATCCGACAGGAGTATAACATTGTTACTCAAAGTTTTCTCCTCACTATTCAAACTAAGTATCAGAGTAATTCAATTGCTAAAATGGGTCAGCTTCAGAACCAGGTCAATGCAAATGTCTACTCCTATTTAACTAATAGTTTCATAAATTTGAGTATTATTTTGCATACTTTTCAAGCTTTATGATGTAATGTAGTACATAAAAAAATAAGCTCGCTTTATAGTAGGAGAAACTTTAAAATATTGTGAATTTTTAATTAAAGTACTACGTATTACGATACAAATAAAGCAATTAATTTGAAATATTTTTAAATATTATTCTTTTGTGCGCGTGGACTTAGAGTCGTTAGCAGTCATCACACTTCGGTTGGTGGTAGGTTGTGTATCAGAATCGAACCAACTAAAACCACTCTGCGACTAAAATAGAAGGGATCCGGTTTCATCTTTTATTTATTTTAACACATCTGGTAAATATATTAACTTAATCGAATTTTTTTATCATTTGTCAAAGAACAGAGAACATGAAAATTAAAAAAAAAAACACCTATTAATGTATAACATGTTTACAAAAATAATTCCAATATAAGAAATTCAAAATCTTAAGTGAACACTCTGACACTCTTTTAGCAAAATAATTTAAACCCTCTGAAACGAAATTAATTATAATTCACGGATATTTATTTACAGTTATCAAGGGTCAGGAACACATCTAGTCATAGGTCATACAAAGTTGATTTAAAAGAAAAATATATTATAATAAATTGCGATACTTAAAACATTGCTAAAACATAGCAGTAACATCGATTAGAGAGGCCAATTTGACCAGAAATCTAATTAGATAACGAAATTATATTCTAGTTTAGATAATAATGGTCCTAATACATTTGTTGAAGCTCCATACACTTTTCAAGTACATGCTGAATGAGCCTGATGAATGAAAACGATGAATTATTACCGATCGGTTATGGACTTACTTTTAACAGACTTCAAGAAAATGAGGATGATCTCAATTTGTTTGTATTTTTTCATATCGATAAACTTATAACTTATTTCATCAATCATCATCATCAACAGCCTATAACAGTCCACTGGCGAACATAGGCCTCTCCTTAGAAAGGAGGTATTGGCCTACTATACCACGCTGGCCAGACGGGTTGATATAGGGTTTGTTTCAAGTCTTGCAGTGCTGTTGTCCTGCGTAGTTTGCTCCCTTAGTCGTCTCTTACAACACCCACGGGATGAATATGACGACGGGTGGTGACATTCCGTATTCTTAATCCATCACCACACGGACACGGACTTACTTACTAAACTTATATAGTCATAATTTATTTGGAAGTGTATACATTTCGTTTGGTTACATTCAAATTGCAAATACCGACCAATAATAAAGAAAAAATACCATTGGTAAGGGTGAAATATTTAGGAATGAATTTATTGAATGAAAATTCTATTAAGTACCTTATGATGGCCTCTCCTTACACAGGAGTTTTTGGCCTAAAGTTCATTAATTAATTTCTTATTCTTTCTAAAGAGAGGCCAATGTCCAGCAGAGGACTACTAAAGACTGTTGATGATGATGAAAAACAATATGATATAGGCGTGTCAAATTCTTAATACTTTAAAAAAAAAACTAAGTGTATTCAAGTAATGCTTCTATTTGCTCGACAGTTCAGCGTTCTCTAGACGAAGGTTGATATAAATGGGAACAGTGTACATTTTTCTTATTGTCACTTATTAGTTTACAGCTAGCAAAACTAGTTTAACTTCACGGTTGATTTGGATGCAAATGGCATTGTTACGTAAGAGTTTTTCAGTGTAACGTCATTTTTCCTTTTTAACTAATCTGATTGCTTTTGAACTTTTAAGAATGGATATAGGTAGCATACAGCTCATTTTGGACATCTTAAGCTGAGGTCTGCATGGGCCTCTAGATTCCCAATATTGTAGTCAATACGTTGTTTATTCCGAAAAATATGCATGATAAACTTTTTAACTCAGGACTCATTCTCATTACGCTTAAATGATAGAGGACTTAATTAATAATGGAATGATAATAATAATATTCTACATCATTCACACAACGCCATCTAGTCCCAAATTAAGCAGAACTTGAGCTATGGGTACTGACTAGTACCCATAGCTCAAGCTCTGCTCTGCACTGGTATATATACATATATACATCTTCATCTGCCCACCCTTATCCCGAATTTAATTGGGGTCGGTGCAGTATGTATTTTTCTCTCATTCTATACTGTCATTCGTCATTTCACTGTTCGCTGCCTTTCCAGCCATATCCTCTTTCACACAGTCCGTTCACCTTTCTTTGGTCTTCCTCTTCTCTTATACTCTTCAACTCACTTTCCCTAACAATTACCTCGCCACATTTTCCTCATCCCTCCGCATGACACGTCCAACGAATATTTAATTATTTTCATTTAACACAAATATCATAGAAAAAATAGTAGTTTAAGGGAACCATCACGAGTTTTCTTTTCATCTATCTTAACCATGGTTTAACTTATTGTGTAAAAATGTAACCGTTAATATAAATGTGGAAGCAAAGATATAAGTTTGTTAATTAAATTAAATAATAAATTTCAAGCAGGAATTATACGTAACATTATTTACATTATATTGTTGTGCTACCTTTGTACCTTTGATATTTGAAGAAATAGAATATAAGTTGTAATACTAATAATTATACTTATTTATATATGTATTGTATCTGTTGATAGTTCATACCAAGAGCGTACGACACCCATTGAGGTATAATTAGCTCCTTAAAATCGATTCCTTAATATTGTATTTGCATTAAATAATATGAAATCAAGAAGTCAGGTACTCCTTTGTATAATTCTAAAACATAAATATACAAAACTCTTGGATTTAAAACTCACCGGCACGACATCATGTGCTAATACCACTACTGTACGATCCGGCGACAATGCTGCTACTCTTGAAGACCTTTGCAAAATCTGAAACAAAGTAAAAATAAATCGTAACAATATATAATATCTACAGAAGGAATTCTACCTATCGGGGTAAATCTTGTAAAGAAATTTATGTGTCACCTAAATACTTTTCTTTTCATGAATGCATTCAAAATGACAAATTCTGTTTTTTGAACTTAGGATCTTGTACAAGTACGTATATTATTTGATGACTCTACACTTTACAAAACTATATATCTAATAATACACTTTTTATAACCGGTGTGCAATATCGATCGCCGTACTAAACGCGTCGCGTAATAGTGTATAATCACTGATTAGGCAAACTTATAATAATTATATCAGTCCAAAAAAATCAGGTTTTACTTTAACTATAGACTACACCCTCTTATTTTATCTGCATATCGTCTACAACGGACAACACTTCCACTGCTCCACCAGCTTTCTGATGTCACTGTACAGGTCTTGTGACAACTAGGTGAATATCCGTGCGCTTGGGCGATTCTGTCAAACATATTTTAGGTGTCAAATATAGCTCACTCAGGACCCATATATTTCCAACTCCTCCAGTTTTTTTCTGGTTAATTTCGTTGCGGGTTCCATAACAGTTTAATTTTACCTAGTTTGGGAACAGACGGCCGTGTGTGAGACATGTAAAAATATTATTATTATTACTGCCCGATTGTAAAAACTCGGTTTCTTCTTGGGGCACTGCTGTTCATCCTGGTGTAGAGAAGTTACAAAGTTACCATGTCTACAATTTTTGCTCCGTCACCATAAAAAGAAAGGTGACAAGGCTCATACTACTCGGCAATAGCCAATTCAAGTTATATGTATCCGACCCTGACCTAGTCGAGCACTCCCCAAGCACAAGCACAAGTGAATAGATTTATCCACTAATTCGTGATTATGACCAATTTCAGTAAAATCTGAGTAGAATACCCCTTTACCTACGTCTTCGGGGATGTAACAGATGAATCAGTGAAGTAGTCCGAATATATTTTCTGTTTATTTATGTTATAGGGGGGCAAAGAGCAGACGGGTGACCTGATAACTGAGTACCACCGCCCATAGCCACCTGCAAGTCAATAAACATAAGTACGACAGCGACCTTTAAGTGTTGAGTGACCTCTCCCAGATTAAGAGGGGGAGGACAGATGAGATTTGGTTAAACCGAAAAATATATTCATTAAAAACTTTCTACAGGCAAGAACGTGAGGATAACATTGAAATTCAAAACACATTTAGGACAGAACGTAATATTAAGAGTGGTATAAAATCAAATTATTTTAAGCGCACGGCGACCTTTATGCTGACCACGATATAGCTTCATGTTTCTAAAAGCGACTCATAAAGTTTATTGAATTTCACTTCTACATATTTCATTGCTGGCTACATTTCAAACTAACATTTTGTAAATGTAAATGTACGTACTTTATATTACGTGGTTAACTGAATATTAAAAATATTTAGTAAAGTCTCACAATGCATACTGTTATTTTGTACACTACTTCTGAGGCATTACTGATACGATCTTAAAATGAAGTTTCATTATTCATTCCGTTCTTGAATTCATTGAGTTCTTGAAAATATGTTGAACCTATTTTTTGAGATATCTATTAAAACTCAAACTCTATTTTTTTTAATTGTCAAATTAACTCACACAAAATTAACAATCTCTGTTTTGTCAAATAGTAAGCAAATAAATTTAATAAAAATTAAACTTATACACAATCTATGATATCCCTGTGCCGATCTACAACCGCCCGCTTCCAAGGGGTTGAGCCATATGAGAAGAAAGGGCAAACAAACTCAACTCACTCACTCAACTCGTATTATTATTTAAGTCTACCTACATACGGTTAAATAATATATTATAATGCAATTAAAATATTCACAATATTTACACAGAAACTTAAAAAAAATACCTCCGCATCATCGCTTACTCTGGTCCCAGAAAACCGGCAGCGTTGCCACGTTGAATGGAATTTTTTGATGTTTGTAAGTAAATATTGTAGGTAGACTTAAATAATAATATAATTTGTATAAAAAACTCGTTTTATATAACAATAATAGATTATCGTAAAACAATATTAAATAATAGATTAATGTATGACAAGGACAAAGATTAACATTAAAACTGTAGGCTCACAAAATTATAGCCTTTTAGTATATTACCCATTGTATAAATATAACTTACAAATTAACAAATATTTCAATGTTAGTAAGACAATGCAATTCTCAGAGCCACAATTCAAATGTCATTTATCATTGCATTCAATGTTAAAACACACTAACACTTGACATCACATTGTAAATAAAAATAATGTATGGGAAAATTAGTAACTGCCGTGGGACAACTTGGATACTTAACTAAGAAATATGGATAAAACTGAATGACTACGGATTTTAAATATGTATTTCTGCACAAAAACGATGGTACTAGAATACTGGTACATATAATACATAGTAATATATTTACAGCGAATACTGCAGCTGGGGATTTTGCAGCGATAATGGAATTTTCATACGACATTTCTGTACCTGCTACATTAAAAAAATCAAATATACACGACAATATAATATACACTTACACTATAATATACACATACAATTAATTACTATAATATATATAATTACTATAATATATAATTACTATAATATACACATACAATTAATAGCTACCTCAATTAAAACATTATTCCTATTTCTAAATTTTAACAATAAAGAGCAATAAAATAAGCAGGCAGTCTTCGCTCCATAACTTTTTTGTTACTGTTATTTCAAAGATCTTATAGATTTTAAATTGATTTACACAAAATTTACAATAAAATAAAAAAGAACATTTGAACATAATGGTTCTCGAAAATTTGAGAAAAGAAAATGGTTGTTAACTGTTTTAACCACAGTTAAATACCTAATGATAATATTTATGAAAATTTCAAAAGCAACAATTAATTACATTAGCATGCTTTATAATTTTAGTTGCAGTATTAGTAAATTAATGCAATGATGTCATATTGTGCTAAATTTGTAACATCATTTTAGATTAAAAATACATAGAATTTAAAAGGAATAGTAAATAATGTCAACATACCTGTGACGAGTTTTGCACTAGTGTCTGTGTTGCCGATGTGTCGACATTAAAGAGTATTAAGTCACCGAACGCATTCCTGAATATCGCCTCGTTTCCTGTAAATAAACAATTTAACTTAACTTTACAAGATCATGTTAAAATTATTGTTTGAGCCGGGATAGTCTGGCAAAGGCTATTTTATATATTTGATAAATATTCACGTGAAATAAAAATACGAGTAAATATCATGAACTGTCTGCCTAGCCAGGTTTAAAGTGTTTTATGTCACGAACGTGGCAAAGAAACATGCTGAAGTTGGTGCCACATAAAGAAAGGAAATGTAATTGCTGAAAAAAGACGAAATATCTAGTAAAAAAAGACGAAATATCTAGTAAAAAAAGAACAGTTTTTTTTACAAGTGGATCTTAATTGTAAAAATTTTCAACTCTTACTATAAGAACTCGTTCCGTTTCGTTACTGGTATTTTATAACAGAAAAGTACCGAACAGTGAATAAATACAAACTTCCATTCCTTAACGACAGTGACAAAATCGAGGATTTTAGATAGCAGTAATATCTAAAGTAAAAGAACAATAAAATTTACATTTTATATGTTTTATAAGTCATTATAATTGACATCAAATCATTGATATAAGTCATTGACATCGAATCTCAAGAATTTGGTTTATTTGGTATAATCCAAATGCAAGTTATTAGGGTGTAAAAAAAATGACGAATCGCTTCAACAAATGGTAGGAGTGCCCTTGCGCTTCTGTTGGCACACTGTTAGTGCCCCAGATATAGGTAGGCACGTTTAATTTTCTGAAATTGTTTATATCCAAAAGAGCGATATTTTTTTCTGTGCCTTAATACGACGTTACGTTAATGATTTCATGAATAAACTACAATCAATTTTAACAAAAATAAAAGGAATTCAGTATAATAAACATGAAGTCATTTTTAGAACTTTATACAGCCTCTTAGCCCACTACGCATTTGTTTTTTAAGGCTTTATGTACTGTAATATGTCATGTTGTTTTATAAAACAGCCAAGCATGCGTTCCCATTCAGTTATACAAGGACCATGCTTTCAATGGTAGCAGTCTAGTTTTGTGCCACTCATTTAATCTCATTCATGGAAAGCGTAAAATTCTTAACTGTGTAATGTTATAACTGTGTAATGTATAATAATGTTTAGAGAGCAAAATATCGAGAAGTATTGTAAATAGTGTTAAGGTGTTTGTTTTTAGACAGCCGTGTGTGAGATGTAAAGCAATCAAAACAAAATCTAGAATTAAAACTATAATCTAAAGAATCTATAATTAGAACAATTTTATCACTATTTGGTAAAATAAATGCACTTAAATATTTGCAGGAGTGTAGGTTACAAGGTCAACTTGGAACTTACGTAACCGGTTACATGTATTAGGTTGTTAAGTGCGTACAACTCACTACATGCATCTGTACATATTTAGCAACTGTCATTGTAAAGAGAAAGGATTGTTTACGTATACAAGCAGTTGCATGCAGACCTCACTAACTTACTTAACTCAGAGGAGATTTTTAGAGTCAGTCATTATGCTATTAAAACCATCAATTGAAGGTGAAAATGTTGAACTTTGTTTAATCTTACTAATCCTAGTAATAACACATGTTTTTTTAATATATATTAGCATCGTCGAAACGTATACTAAATACCTATATATGATAATATCGTGCTACTATACTACATATGATCAACATATAAATATCAAGATATAGCCGGTAAAATAAGAAAATACCACGGTGTTTGATGAATTCAAGGTTAGAATAATATGTATATCAGTTTTAACTTTTACTTACCAAATCTAAAGTGATTTTTAAGTCCTTATAAGAAATAAAACTAATTTTCTACATAACCAATTCATGAAAGAATCTTAGCCGCTTTTAAAGTCAAATAGAAAAATATTAAAAAAGTAATTTTTAGATAGACTAAGTCGGAGAAACCCGTTACTAAATCTGTAGTCAGAATAACTACTAATCTGACCAGGTCATGTGATCATAACTAGCACACTATAGACCAACTGTCGTTGTTAGGAAGTTGTACGTTGTGCGATACAGGATTAGTAAAAAAATTGCACTTGGGTATGAAAGTTAATATACAGTTTTAGTTGTAATAACGATGCGGACAAGAACACGACAATACAACATTTCAACATTTTAACAATGGTCACTTCGGTTACTTCGATTATAATGTTTCGTAAATGTACGTTCTTGTAAGAGTGAAGAGTGAATCATAAATTCAATACAGATACTTGGGCAATTAACATATTATTATATAGCTACATATAATATAATGTATGTAAGTATAAGGGTTAATGTTGGCCCCTTTAGGCAAACAATATAAGCTAGCTATGCGCTCTTAGTAACGTAATGATATAAGATAATTTTCTCTTACGTAGTTTGAATATTCTGATTGTTTCAAAGCCATAATCTTCCATAATTTTTTTAAAAAAATATCAAATCAGTCACATGGTAATCGCCTTCTACATAATTATGAACTAACCAAGATTTCAAAATACAAAATAGAACAATTACGTACTCAATTAAATGTTTAACCTTTCTAGTCTATACAACTAAAAAAAATTAGGTGTCTGTTTGTAATATCAAAATAATAGGCTTTTTAATGCTCACACGGTTATTTGCAGGATACCTATGCCTTAAAACCAGTTTTTTTTTTTTTTGTGTCTGTCTGCTTGATCCGGGTAATCTTATAAACGGCTGGACCGATTTTGATAATATTTTTCTACCAGGTAGCTGTCTATATAAGGAGTAACTTAGGCTTCCCAGTCCGAGAATCAAACCCACCAAGGCAGCACTTTTCAAATTCCACGCGAACGAAGTCGCCGGTACCCACCAGCTAGTATTAAAAAAATCTGATTGTTGGTAGGTAATGAAAACGAATATACCGATTTTACTAATTTTTCATTTTATATTTATATATGAATCAGAGATTAATTGGCTTCAAAAATCTGCCCGAAAAATTGGAAAATTTCTGAAGCAAGGGAAACGAACTTATTAAAATTTTGACGTTTATCGAATCAGTTTGTAAAATAAAGTATTTATCGAGGATATGCGTAATAAATAATCTGATAAAGTTAAATAACTATATAGAACAAACATAATCCGCATGAATAAACCTAATCTATTTAAGTACATATAACAACATATTTATACACATATATTGGTATATACCGACATCAAGCATTCAAAACACGTTGTAGTCAATTTTAACAAAATCAAGGTTAACTGACTGAAAACCTATCGTCTACTAATGGTCTCGTACAGTAACTAACGCTTGCATGATATTGCTTCGACAAAATCTGGATAAAAACATTCAGATCAAGCAACCCTCAATCATGATTTTAGAACTATTCTTTTTTATGGCATTTGACGGCCAGATGGAGTAGTGATTTGTGTAACGGACTGCTAAGCCAAAGGTCACGGGTTCGATTCCAGCTCAAGTCAAACATTTGTGTGCATGAACATAATTTTAATGTTTGATTTGGTCCCTGTGTTTTTGGTGCAATAGGAGAGGCCTACGTCCAGCAATGAACTGCGATAGGCTGCTGATGATGATGATGATGATGATAGTGGCAAACGAGCAGTCGGGTCACCTGATGATAAGTGGTTACCGCCACCCATTGTCACCTAGAACTCAAGAGTCCAAATTGCGTTGCCGCTCGTTAAATCCCTTCCCCAGAAGCAGGGGAAACGGGGGTTTGGACTGCGGTAACTTCACTAACTACCGAGTGAGTTGCACGAGTTAATAAGTGAATTTTAAACACAAAGCTACGAAAGAACTGCCTGACGCTTAGCAACCGTTTTCTGTGAGACTGTGATCTGTTCTGTGAGACTCCGGTCGACACTGGCCCATTATACTCGTATTCCGAAGCATGGCTCTCCCACGTTTCCTTCTATCCACAAAAAAAATCTAAAGTCAGTGTCGGAGCAACTAGGTACCTAAGACATTTCTCATCTAATTCCCTCCTATAACCGGATTAAAAAAGGAGGAGGTTATAAATTTTGTTGTTTATATGCATATACTTTTTTTATGTATGTTCGGGCATTACTCCGTCATATGTTATATAGACGGAATTTCAAACACTTTTTTTGTTCTAAAGAGATTTATTCCGAAATGGTCCCATTTAAATTTCAAATAGATCTGATGATTAGTTTCGGAGACAGACAACGGACTATTCAAAAACTGACATCAACTCAACTGCGATTACTGCTATGTATTTAGTGCTGTTTGTTACTATGTTTTAAACTCGGTTCAACTTCTTTCAAAAAGGATTTGTTATAGGTATGTGCTAACTTTTTAGTTCACAACAAGTGACCCTTTGCTATGCGAATATTCTGTTTGTGAATACTGGTGTTACTGATGCTTGAATGACCCTGTAACGCATGCGTTATGGTTTCTTTAGTACATATGTCGCGTCGTTTTAATCGTTTTATATTGTAGCATTTTTCTTAATAAAATCCTCCTGTAATCTTAAACTAGACGTGCCTATAAGTTTTACCCATGTATATTGATGCATATTGGAAATTTCTCAGCAGCTTTGTCTTGCATTCTGATTGCATATCCCATAATATAGACAAGTAGATAGTGACATAAGTGCATTCAAACAATCATAACGTAACTTCATTTTATAAAAATATAATAATTTTACCGTTATGTCATCTATAGAAAACCTTTTTTTTTGTAGCCGTGGTGGGAAATCATTCCGAACTCTGGCTCCTTGGGGACGCAGGAGCCAGGAGTATGTGGTATTTCCAATAAAAATGGATAGGACCATGTTAATATGTTTTTTTAATTAATTAATTTATTTATATTATATACAAAATAAACATTTATGTAAGCTATAGTTAGTAACAAAAGAGTATCAAAAAATCGAATAATCCAGTCTTTTAAAAGTAAAATATTTTAATATAAATGTACTTTGAAAACTTCAGCACAATTGATACTAGTGATTATCATACTTAAATCCGTTATGTTGTTTAAAACATCTAAGCGTACAAAAACGGGAAGCGGTTAGTTTATAGATTTCACGCACCCCTTACAAACGAGGTTTTGATCTACTATTCCACCCTGGCCAGACGGGTTGGTATAACATTTTTGTCAAGTTTTCTTTCTCTTTGCAGTGCTGTTTGCTCCCTTAGTCGGCTCTTACGACGTCCACGGGATGAATAGGGGTGATGACACTCCGTATTATTAATCCGTCCCTACGCTGACTCTTTTAATAGAAACTTAAAAATATATGTTACCTGAAGCCCATGTAGCATTGAACGACGGTGTTGCAAAAGCTCCTTCAATAATTTCTTCCAAATCTATTGGAGACAGTACAGCCTCGGTGGTAGTTTCTACAGCGATAGGTGATGTTGTTTGTGCTTCGCTTGTCGGTATGTCAGGCGATGTAGGCCCTTCTGTCGTTATAATAGGATCGACAGCAGCACTGTCTCCTCCAGTAAGAACTACTACAAGAGTTACTATCACTGCTATGATTGCCAACATTGCGGCGATGCCTATGGCGTATGTTAATGTCTTCTTGCGTTTAGTGGCTACCAGGACCTGTAAATAAGGACTTTGTCAATGGAAAAATATTATCTTAGGATTAAGAATGAACGTCATAACACATTTAAATTGTTTCAAAAAATGACGTTTAAGTTAAATTGTTTTTAAATGTCGCTTTTAACGTAAGTAGTATTTCTGTAAGATAATCTTTAAATTACTATTCAGAACTCAGACCAATATTTACATAGTCGGTCCTACTCGAATTTAGTATTAAGCTGATGACACCAGAATTCATCAGCTCAAACATTTAGAAAACACACAAGAAAGTAATGTCCTTTTATTGTTTAGTAGTGGAACTATTACAGGCTGTCAATTTTAAATTCGTGTGTTCGATCATGTGAGTAGGTAGTGTGATCTACAAATAACTTCTATCGCGGCATACACCTGATATAAAATATATATAATTGTTAAATCCATTAATAAAAATGTTATCTGTGCCACGAACATTTTAACACGTATTAAATCAACATCCTAACACATATAAAAGTGCTCCAAAGATCGACTATAAGACAGACCGACCGAATTAACTTGGTATATATATATGGCAAAAACGGTGCCTGGGGAATCATCCAAACTTGATACAACTATTTGTGGGACACACATTTTTTTTATAAAACACACTAAGTTTGTAAGATACAACTGGAATTATATTTATCAAAATATAATTCCAGTTGTGTCAGTAGAAAATGTCATGTATAGCCTTTTATATATTGATTTTTATACATTTGAGCCTTTTATATATTTGACGACCGGATGGCGTGGTGGTTTGTGTAACGGACTGCTATTCCAAAGGTCGCGGGTTCGATTCCAGCTCAAGTCAAACGTTTGTGTGCATGAACATTTAATGTTTGATTTGGTCTGGGTGTTTCTATGTATAATATGTATGTATTTACAAAAAAAAAAGTATATATGTATTTATATCAGTTGTCTAGTACCCATAATACAAGCTCTGCTTAGTTTGGGACTAGATGGCGTTGTGTGAATGTGGTAGATTATTATTATTATTATTTTATATGGACTGTCTTAAAAGTATTCAAATTTTGCCCGCTGGTTTCTAACATCACTATTAGCCATGTTCTAATAATTTGTGCTGCATTTGTGGTGGGTTTTTGCGCCTGCGCCTGCCAATTCCCATATTTTACAAAAAAAATGTGTGTCCCACAAATAGTTGTATCAAGTTTGGATGATTCCCCAGGCACCTTAGAGTTTATACAACACGACATAGTAGCTGATTTCTGGTTTTTACTTATCTGTTGATCTCAACAGATTAGTAAAAACCAGAAATCCATTACTGTGTCGTGTTGTGTAGTATCGCATCATAAACATATTGGATTCATAAAAAAGTATAAAAAAGACAAAAATTCAGAATATACATGCGCAACGACGCAACGAATTTACGTCGGTTTACATCAATAGCAGACAAAATCCGAGAATTTCAAAGATTTGTATGTTATGTCGTTAAAACATGTTTTTGTGTTACACTGACACCTATCTATCTATCTCTCTGGTAGTTTCTAGGAACTTTGTGATACAAAAAGGTATTTGAAGGTAAACACTGTAAACAAGTTAGACTAATGAATTTAGATTTAGTTATGAAATACAATATAATATAGCTTACTAAACTTTTCTCATCTGTGTATTCCATAATACGTAGAAACAAGCTTACTATACACTTACAGCACATTATCAAATTTTATACAGCAACCAGAGCCCTACCTCTTCTAAAATATACCAAAAATGTTGTTAATATTGGCTGTTTTTAAACCTGTGTAAAACCAGAGTTTACTTAGTTGGGAGGAAAATTCATTATCAACGTAGTCGTATTTTTCATTTATATCTGCTAAATCAGAGCTCCATCGTTTATAAACTGATTTTAAAAAATCTTGTTTCTTATAATTAATGAAGAACAATTTGTCTTGATGTATTTGCATTGAAGTCGGTACACTTTATAAAAGTTAATTATTCTGTCCGTTCTGTAAAGACCTTTGTTCATTAGCAACCGACTTTAGTAAATACGAAGGTTTTGCCCTTTTTGAATGCCACATTATGAAAAAAGTAAGACAATAGCAAGAAATAAACTTGTAAACTTTTAAAACTTTAATTACTACTACTTTTCAAAAACATGACATTAAACTTTGATATTCCTGTCACTAAAAACATGTGCGTTATATCCATAAATTTAAGATGTGAAACTACAAGTACATAAACCAGTCACTATATAAAAAAACGTTTTGTAGGTCCATTACAAATTGTTTAGATAAAGAGACGTTAGTGATTCCTTACCTGTCAGTTTTATCATTGCTATAACTGACATGATTATCATTGAATATGAATTTCAATGCATTACATTTCCAATATGTCATGACATGGTTAATAAAAAAATGGGCTTTACCAAGGCCCGTTTTGTAGTTGTTATTATTCTAATGGAACAAGAAATAATTAAATTACCATACATTATCATTCATAGGATTTACCCACTGGCTGTCTGCGGTCGCGCTTACTTTCGTCCTGTAGTAATCTTAAAAGGAAATGACTGCATTTGAACTCATTTGCTTCGATATATATGTATTATTTAATCGAAGGATCTATGGGTACCCGGCTCTTTAAATATTATTAGTATGCTTTGCCGCAAGGCTTTGCGTTCCAACATCATTAACTCTGGCTATTGATTCTTAGATAAATAAGATTTTAATCTTATCTTATCACCGTATCTGTTAACTGTACAGTTATTTTCTTAAATTTATTGTCTTAGGAAATGCCGGCTCCTTTTAGCTGTAAAATCCGACTTGTAAAAATATCGCAAATGATTCACTTACAGAAATAAATATAATTTAATATTGAGAATTTGAATAAATTAAATTAAATATAACGTGTTTTTATCATACTTTTTGAATACGGAAATTTTAAATAAATAAATAAATACATATTAAAATGACTCCATTTTAGATTTATGTATCTTTAGCCAATTACATAAACTATCAATAAAAACAATTCTAAAAACTTCATTTGCAAATTTACTAAAAGTGTATTTTGATTAAAATAAAATTACAACAAAAGTTATTGTTTTTCCATATTCGTAACAAACACAAGTACTTAGCAAAAATAACAAGTAACTTGGTCACACATTACCTTTAAAACAATACAATTATTATGTCCACTTGTATCACTTCATGTTATTAATCTATCACGCACAAGACACACACGCTCCATTAACAATATAAAACAACTTACAATACGTTCATTCCTTTCGAAGAACAAAAATGGAATGGACAGTACCGCAAAATAAAGACCTTCATTAAGTTTTTTACTTGGGTTCCTCTACGCGGGGTTATCGAAGGTTATCAAGTGTGTTGAACACTATCAATTCTATGCTGTTTCGTATAGTCTAGGTGAGAACAAAACGCTATAAAATATTAGCATATAATTTAATACACGTGTTGATTTACATTTTAAAACGTCCTTACATTGTGTTTGTGAATGTATTCCTAAGTTTTATAGATTAACCGTGGGAGAGTCATCCTTCGGCACAAATGGGGCGCCTCGACCGGAGTGGTACCACGGCCTCACAGAAAACCGATGCTAAGAAATTATTTCGCTTCTTTTCACCGAGAAAATATATCTGGATCAAATTGAGCTCCGGCAACCTCACCTCACTCACTCAAGTAGCAACTTGTTAACTAGTTGCTAATTGTTTACGGAAAATTGCATTCTTGTGGCACCCGCGACAGGCATTGACCCGTCTCGCCCAAGGCGCTTCTCGCGACCCTTCGGTTACAATCAAACTACTTCAAGCCTGTACTTACTCTAATCAACCTATATTCTAGTCAGTCTAACTTATGTTAAATTATTATATTCTATAATAGTAAATAAATACTTTAAACAAGAAAAGTCTTTGCCCTCAAAATCGTTTACATTGCTGGTATGCAAATATTATTTAAATATAAAGTCAAATCGATAAAGCCTCGAAACAAATTAAACACGATGAGTGTTTTAAATTTATCAGATGGCTCTATTTGTCAATTTATTTTTATAACATAGGAGGCAAAAACTGGATGGTTTACCTGATGGTACCCAAGTGTTTACTGCCGGACGCCTTTAAGGTAGTATACTCTTTTCTTGAAGATTTGAAGGTCGTATTGTTGTTTGTTAATAATGTAATAAATGAATTATTTTATGCGATAAATATATCAATATTATGAGATAATGCACTTGTTGGATCCTCATTCATGTTTAAGTACTATTAAGAACTTTAAGTATTAAAAATAATTATCATATGGCTTTGCAAAATAGGAAATTTAATTCACGAGAGATGGAATAATAACGATAATCTGAGCAAAGTTTGGGGCAAAAATTTTTAATTTTAATTTTAATTTTAATTAAAATCTGGTTCTTGGAACTTCCCCGGCTTCATTACAAATAGATTTAGGTTACAGTTAGTTACATTTCTTCAATTAACCCAAATACTTAGACAGACCAGTAAAAAAGAACAAAAAACCATTACGAAAATTTACTATAAATTTAAAATTTAAATTATGTTTTTTTCTTTTTATGATACATTACTTTAGTAGCTAATCGACAACCTCATAGGTCATAATATATTTATTTTCTAACGAGTTGTAATTTACTAACTGACCCGCGCCAGTTCGTCTGCATCTCACGAACGAAATAAACTTCCCTGTCTTTTCAGCATTTTTCATTGATGCTTAGCTCCTATTGGTGCTAACATAATGTTAAAACAAACTGCTCAGCTTTATAATATTAGTATACTAACATGAACCAGTCACACTTAATTGAAGACCTGTTAGTGGCTCTCTAATACTATTCTATCGCTAATCTATTGATTTAGCTGTAAGTCTTTCATAGGAAAAAAAAATAAAAATAAAGAGGAAACGCTGCAGGCATCCAGTCTTTTGGATTAACCTATATAAGCAACTGCTTAAAAAGGTTTTGGCTTAATTCATAAAACCAGTTACTTACAGGGGTTAATTCCAAAAGACTGGTTACTGATATTTGTCAAGTTTTGACGTTAACCATAACGCGAATAAAATACGACATTAAAATAAGATTAAAATCTTTGATTTTATTTTTCTACTTTTATACTTAAGGCCTCAACAGACACTCGTACTGAAACTGTTAATATAATATATATTTATGCAATAAACTTATCGTCGGCCATATCAAAATTGAAGAATACCAACATACCTGGTCACTAGTGCCCATTTCCATGGTTGAATTGCTGTTGTTTTGAGCCATTTTGTTTCAAGTCTGTAACCTGTGAACAAAAAAAACATACCTTAAAAATGTGTACTCTATAATCACTATTATTATATTATTATGATTTGTAATCATGGAAGACGACACCACAAAATACCTGTAGTACATCTCAAATATCGACTACTTATTTATTTGGTCCATTGCCACTATACATATACATATATTGGCTGCCTATTGGTACAGTGGAAATTGATCCTGACTGCTCATGTCGTGGGTTCGATTGCCGATGGCATACAGTATGTGAAGTATGATCATTTTTTGTACGTCTGGGTGTAATTTATCTATCAAATACTTAGAAATATATTTTACACATTTTTATTTTATTTTCGACCGCTCGAGACGTACTGTTTGCCTTTTGAGTAATTTTTAAACTAGCATATTTATTAAACTCAGCTTTTTCGAAATCAAATCAAGTTCATTGTCGATCTATAACACTGACGGTCAGAGTTTAAACTTTTAATTGCCATAGCATAAATGCATCGGCGTGTCCCCCACGCCTGGCCATATCGCAATATCCTACACGATAGCTATTCCAAGATCGTATCTATATAAAACAAATTATTGTTTTTTATCCTCTATTTTCTTTAAAAAACACAACATACATACACACACACCCATACAGCATAAAGTTTCTTTCAGTATCTTATCATCATTATATTATCATCATCTTATGTGTCAAAAAACAAAGATTACACATTACTTTTCAAGTTGTGTACAATCAAATAAAAAATTGAACAAAATGTAATTCATAGGTTGCATATTCCTTAGTCGCAACATTACAGCCGAATGCTATAGCCATGTAGCAGTGTCATAAACTTGTTATCGATGTTAAATTCAGATGAACGAAGTAGGGAAGAATAAAAGTTCCTAATTTTATTTGTTAAAATATGTAATAAATTATATTTTTAATTCAAACTGTACTACATATTTAAATTTATATTGCTATTCTAAGAGATAGGTCTGATAAATTTAACTCGTAAGATTTAATTACAGACAGGTCAAAGAAAAAGTAAATAAAAAACATAGAATGATTAATACTTAAAGTCACCAGGTCGGAAAATATATTTTTATAGTTTTTTTGTATAGTTCTGTTCGTTTTCTTATTGACCACTGCGTGACTGTTGTCGTTGACAATAGTGTGGTGAGCGAGTGAAATACATATGTGGCATTTATTGTTGTACCTTTGATTATTATACAAACAATAGATTGAATGATTATAGTTAAACAATAACAAAATAAAACACATTAAATATTGTTTTAAGCTGGAAAAATACCTTGTTATGTCGGTCATCGGCAATGACCCACAAAAAATATTGAAAAAACAAACAGTCTTGCAGTAGTTTGTGGACTTTAACCAACCATAGCGTTCAAAAGATTAACGTTGCTCAGTTCGGTACTAAAACCATATAAAGTGGTGAATCTCCATTCTCATACAATGACACACATACACAGAAATTATTATTTTTTATTGAAAACGTCAGGAATACCGTTAGTCATTATATTAAGTACTTAAGCATGCCTTCCAAAGACCAAACCACGGCGTCCGATGCGACGACCAACAGTTGCACGCGGAAGGCGGTACACGCGACATTATGTTACTGGCGCGGCCAATGTGGTCCCTGGCACGGGGAGTGTGGCCTAACGGCTACGAGAGGGGCGACGGGACAGCCGTCAAAAGTCTCGCATTAAGCAGAGATTTCAACTGGCGGCGGTCAATGCCGAACACCGGCAACCGGATGGCCCGACCCGCAGACGCCGACTTATCGGGAGCGGGGGTCTTTCTTCTAGACAGGAGATTGGCCAAGAGGAGAAAACCTCTATAAAAACCACAAGGGTAGGGTGGCCTAGGCCACATACCAAGACTTATCTCTCCACGTGTCCCTCTGTTACGCAGAGGGCACGTACGAGGGTTACGTCGGAAGACGACGTCTCATGGGGGCGACGGGATTGCCGTCAAAAGTTCCGCATGGAGTAATTGGCGGCGGTCACTGCCGAACTCCGGCAACCGATCGGCCCAACCCGTAAACGCCGAGCAATCGGGAGCGGGGGTCTTCTCGAACGGGGAGGAGGGGAGAGAAGGCCGCGAGGAAGAAAACCTCTATAAAAAATTACCCCTAACCCAAGCTGAGGGAGCCCGGCGAAGAGGTTAACGGCTGGGGGGGTATCCCAGCCGCTAGGGCAACAACGCGTTAGCTCACGCTTAAGAGCAAACAATAAAATGGACGTGACTAAAAAAAACATGATACCCCAGGAGGGTACCGACCGCGCCGCGGTCGGAGAATCCCTCGGCACTCCGGCTTCAACCTCGGTGGTTGACACCGGAGTGTTCTGCCCACCGTATTCTGGGGGGGCACAGTTACGTGCACAGCGATGTCCGAGTCCGGGCCCACCAACCGGGGCGCACACGTCCAGTTTTGTGCGCCCCAGAACGCCGAGTCCGGCGTCTTCCCACGCCAAGTCGGGCGAACGAGGAAGTAGGCGAGCGCCAATAATAGAGCGCCCAACAACAGAGCCTGTGGAAGGCCAAGGAATGGAGTGGCAGCGAGGGGATTCCGGGGATAGCGACGCTTCGTCGTTTTTCTCTGTCTCCTCGCGGTCATCCCAGGCCCGCAAGCGCAAACCGAAGGGTTCGGCTGAAGAAAGCCGGCCCACCAAGGTTGCGCGGCCAAGGAGGGGCGCAGCAAGTGGCGAAGGGAGTGGAACCGGGACGGAGACCGAGCGCGAAGGCGCGACAGGTCTGTCCACTTCCCCAATCGCCTCAGAAGGAGAGCAGTCCCGCGCAAAAGAAGTTGCGACCGAGCTAAAAGGTCAACCAACCGCCAATGTAGATTCCAAAATACAGGAGTCTCTGTCGGCGGTTGAGAAGGCATTTTTAGGAACGAAGGGTCCCAGGGGCGGCAAAAGAGCCGTCGCCAAAGAGGCTATGACCACCATCAGGGCTGGTGTGTCGGAACTCCTCAGGAGAGCTGACACATCAGTCCTGACAAACGCAGTAGGGAGGTTAGAGCAGGAGAACGAGGCACTCCGCTCCCAAATGGCCTCCCTACAGAAGGAGATAGGAAAACTCCGCCGTGGGGGTCCAAAGGCTATCGAAATACCCCCTGCGGGAACCGGAAAGGAGATCGGCAGTGCCAGGACTCCGAACAAACGCAGAGGTCCAGTGACTCAGCCCGAGACAAGCCCAGTTCCGGACCGAGACCAATACAGGGCCACACTAGACCGTGTATTGGCCGAGGTTCGGGCAAAGATGTTGGGAGAGCAGTACCCAGGAGGGAACACCATGTCTCCCCCAACCATAGCCAGTAGGGGGGCGGCGGGTGCCAACGGCGTTACACCGCCCAAAAATAAAAAAAAGGGAAGAAGGAAGAGGAGACAGCCGGCTACCCAGGAGACACTGGTACCGCTTCCCTCTGCGGCAATGAGGCAGCAACAATCTGCGGCTCCGACGGTGGGGGAGACCTGGGCCTTAGCTCTTGGCCGAAAGAGCAAAGCTAAGGCCGCGAAAAAGGCGGCAGCCACGACCCACCCGGCGGGGCGTTCTGCTGCCCCTCCGGCGTCGCATCTTAAAAAAAGGGCTGTGCCAAGGCCTCCCACAGCCGCGGCTGTCACTCTCTCCGTGCCTCCTGGCTCGGAGACGTCGATAGCTAGGCTGATGGAGGTCGCAAAGGCCAATATAAACCTGGGTGATCTTGGCATCCCAGGCGGGCTCCGCACCAAACGAGCCATGACCGGAGCCCTTATCCTACAGGTACCCGGCGAAGGTAGCGCCGCCTTAGCGGACAAGTTGGCAGCACGCCTGCGGGAGGTACTGTCCAGCACGGACGCTATTATTGCGCGTCCGTGCAAGACAGGAGACTTACGGGTGTTGGACTTGGAGGAGTCTATCACCCAAGCCGAAGTTGCCAAGGCGATAGCAACGGCGGGGGGATGTCCCATCTCCGACGTCAAAGTCGGAGACATCCGTGCCTCCCCGTCGCGGCTAGGCACGGCCTGGGTCCGTTGCCCACTTGCGGCGGTCCGCAAAATTGCGAACGCCAAACGGGTGCAGGTGGGATGGGTTTCGGCCAGGATAGAGGCACTAGCACCTCGTCCGCTGCAGTGCTATCGGTGCCTCGAAATGGGACACGTGAGAGCTAAGTGTCCCAATGAGACAGACCGTGGCGCGCGGTGCTACGCGTGCGGTGGCACAGGCCACATAGCGCGCACATGCACCGCAATAGCACCGAGGTGCCCGGTCTGCTCAGACCTTGGCCGACCCGCGGATCATCGGCTGGGAAGCAAGAAGTGCTCTCCGCCGAAGAAAAACAAAAGGGCTCCTGCCCAAGCCTTGACGAGCACAAGACCGTCACAGCCGGATACCCGTCCGGCAGAGGAGGCAATGGAGGCCTAACATTCGCACCTCCCCAGAAAGTTTTGCAGGGCAACCTAAACCACTGCCGCGCAGCACAAGACCTGCTTATGCAGACGCTGGCGGAGCAGTCGGTTGCCCTAGCGGTGGTGGCGGAGCCGTACTACGTCCCGGATCACCCCCGGTGGTTTGGTTCGGATGACGGCACCGCCGCCATATACTGGGCAGGGGTGGAGAACGGCCTCCACTGCACCCTTATTCAGAGAGGGTTGGGGTTTGTGGCAGTAGAGTGGGGCCCCATGGTCATTGTGGGCTGCTACATATCTCCGAATTGCGGCCTCCCCGTGTTCGAGGCGTACTTGGACGGACTTAGGAGTTGCATTTGCTCTTTCCTGTCTCGTCCAGTACTTGTCTTGGGCGATTTCAACGCCCGCTCCACACAGTGGGGTGATCGCCTAGACAACGTAAGAGGAGATACACTCATCGAGTGGGCGGCGGGACTGAACCTCGGCATTCTGAATCGGGGTTCGGTCAGCACTTGCGTGCGGTGGCAGGGGGAGTCAATCGTCGACTTGACATGGGCGACTCCCTCGGTCATCGACCG